TATTGCATCACTCAGCCCTCTGTGAATAGCAAGGGGCCTTCAGGGCACTAACAATCGAGTGTTAGGCTGATGGTCCTCCTCTTAAATAGTTTAGGCTGTCATCAGCAAACTGGTTGGTCCACTATGAGAAGGTGCTGCTCATAAGACACGCTGTCAGCTCCTCAGACTCGAGACGTCTTTTGGATAAAAGACGAAACATTTCAACAAAGAAGAATCTGTCCAGAGGACCTGACTCAACATTTTCAACCTTGATTTATCTACCTGGATTATTGAGCATGCATCAGGATAAGATGAGGTGTGTTTGTGATTGGAAACATGAGCAGAGAGGAGGTGGGGTTTGCTAGTTTGATTGGATTTTCTAATGATATGTGGGTGTCAAACTCACTTTCCAAAAGGAGCCTAAATTTAAAAACTTTGTCCGAGTCACGGGCCACTTTCAGCTGGTACGTTAACTCGAGTCAGATACCTGATATTTTTTCTTGGTTGCAGGTTCATAAACAAAAGTTTGATCTGTCTCACTTGATGTTCTGTTGCTCTTTCCACATCAGAATCAATAATGACAGAATGATCCAACCATCTTTCTGGCTTGAAAATTAGCCAGCTGCCAAGAAAAGTTTTTACTAAATGATGTATCTATCATTTTTTTAAGAAAAAAGAAGATATACAATATTTTACATTTAAATTATCATCTAAAAAAATAATTTTAAAAATTATCATCTTGGGAGACCAGATTTTGCCAGCGTGTCTTGAGTTTGACATATGTCAATCATCGTATGAAAACGGCAATTACCGGTATATATCTGGCAACACTTCCGCTGGATGTTACGCTCCGCCCTATCCCGCCGCGTAACTTCTGATTGGCTATCACCGTAGCGTCTCTCTCTACGTGCTTACGTACGCTTTTCCCACGATGCAACGTTCGAGTAAAGATGGCAGAAGGAGGAGCGGCTGATCTCGATACTCAGAGAGGAGAGGTCGTGGCATTGTTGAAAACTCAGTTAAGAAAAGGAGACACTTGGTAAGACTTGAACTGAAATATTTTTATAAATGCTCTGCGGCTGCTGGCTGTCTTTGCCGGGGCTGACAGCGCCCAAAATGTTAGGAAAAGCCGAGGCGACCGGCCGTGTTGACAGTGTCTGAGGTAGCTAACGAGAGCTTGTCGGCTTCAGCTAGCGCTGGTTGCTATTCCTAAATGAATAACCCCTTTCGAAACGATAGACTCTAGTTGTACTGAGCATTTCTGTATCACTAGTTGGCTTTTTATGCGATAACATGAGCTCAGCGAGACTACGTTCTCATTTGGCTAAGTAGCAAGCTAACATCTAGTCCGTTAGCAACCGTTGATTAGTGGATTCGCCCGTTGACTTTATTTGGGTGGAGTCGAAATGAATAAAAAAAATCTTGTCAAAATCTCTAAACCAGCTGGCTGGGCTTGTAACAGCCTGAACTCTACTCGGTGACTGCATCTCTGCCATACTGGTCTCTGTTTGTCTGTCGGAGTCCAGTTTGTTTCCAGTAACCGCACGACTGCTCACAAAATCGCTTTTTATTTCGTTTGCTCCAGGTTCTTGGTGGACAGTCGCTGGTTCAAACAGTGGAAGAAATATGTGGGTTATGATAGCTGGGACAAATACCAGATGGGGGACCAGAATGTCTACCCAGGACCGGTGGACAACTCCGGCCTTCTCAAAGGTAGGACAAGAAGACAGACTGAGTAGCTTCAAAATGATACCAAACTCATGAATGGGTAAAAAAACAGGGAAGTTAAAATGGTTTAAAACCAGTGAATGACATCCTGTATTACGATGGAACAGTGTGAGAAGTTGTCACATCAAACTGTCATCATGTCTGCTGTTTTTTATAAACTGTTGCCACAAAACTTTCAATCCTGCTCCAACTTTTTCAGTAATGAAAAGTGATAAGAATAGTATTAGAAGCATGTATTTTTATTAACTAGTAATAAGGGTTTTTACACCCTATAATATGTGTGTTTGTTGATAGCACAACAATGTTCATAAAGTAATTAAGTACTTAATTGCGCAATAAATATTTACTATTAGTTTATGTGAATGTGAGCATGTGCATAAGGGAATGTAAATGTAACATGAATACATTTGTATTTTATTTATTACATACATTCAAATACAGGGATTAAACAATTGTAAATATTTAAATGGACAGGGTTAGGATCACATCAATTCTTCTTCCTCTTTTTCGGCTGCCGGACTGCTTTTAGGAAATCCTGTTTATTTTGTGTGGATTATAGACAGAATTATTACATATAAATGTGTTTGTAAATATTTACAGTTTAAAAACTAATAATAAAATAAACTAATGGTCTTTTAGGCTATTTAAAAGTTCCTTTGCATCTTCAGTTTTAATTTGCTTGAAGGAATCTTCCCAAGGGATCAATAAAGTTTTATCTGATCTAATGAAGTATGAACTTCTTGCATTTTTTCTGATCATTGTGGATTGTACCACCATTCCAACTTAATCGATTTAAAAATGAGGCCTTTCAGGAAGAGAAAACATATTCAGGAGT